CCCCTCCCCAAGGCTGGTTTTATGGCCCAGTGTGCAGGCCATGGAGTGGGAATATCCCATAATCAGCCATAGAAATGCCCTCCTGGTTGTGCTTTGTGCAGGACAGGACGGTGAGAGCTCTGCAAACGTGATGGGACCAAACTGGGAGAAGGTTTTTCGGTCAATCTGAGCCAGGAGGATTTGGCCAGTCCCTCTGTCAGTATTTTTGTTGGGAGTTGTCATTGGCAGGGTAATCAGATTCCCTTGGGAATGTGCCATGAGCTCTTTAATAAAAGGAATAATCTCATTGACTTCAATTCAAGGACTGGCTGTGACCTTAAACATCACTCTAAATTTTAGATTGCTGGGATTATTTTAAAAWTATGGCAGGGGTTTGAGAAAGCAAAGCCCATTATGGTCTGTAAATCTCTTTAAGTCTTGCTTGAAAATTGTCTTTGGGTGGCTTGGCTGTATCTGGGTACCCCAGGAGATTGGGCATTTTCCAWATAAACAAGGTAATTACACCTCACCTTAATGACACATCATTATTTCCTATTGTATAGGTGCTTTAAAATTCATTTAATATTAGCAAAGGTGGTGTTTTGTCCACTCCAGAACAGCCCAAATTGTCAGTAAATGTGTGTTAGCTTTCTAATTGGTCTGTTCCTAAATGATCAGATCATATTTAACTGTTGAATGTTCCTGTGTCCAAAGCACAACCAAACCTCAGAGGTGAAATCCCATCCCCAACCCCCATGAAATATAAACTGGCTGAAAGAACTCCTTAAATGCCAATCCAAGGATTTGTTGCTCATCCGAGTGAAGTCGGAGTGCCCCAACCAAAGATTTCATTTTAGTGCAGCTGGATTGGTGCTGAGGATGGAGTTCCCAGTGCTAATTCCCAAAAATTCCCATTTGATGCACAGAAATGGGGATATCACCCAYCCTTTTCCTTTCCTGTGCCCTTCCCTCTGTGTTCCCTCTGTCCAGGTTCAYTGGGTGTCTCCCTGTGCAGGAAAAATGATCCATAGGGATGCAAATCCTGTGTTTTGGGGGCTCCTTGCTGTTAACACCAGCTCAGCTGAGCCATGGCACTGATGCGTTACCAAATTTCCTTTACAGAACTCCCCAGAGACAAACTTCCAGCAGAACAGCAGCACAAAATCCACGAGCATTTTGTATTTTTCTAAGCCTATTAGTCCCGTTTTTTCTGTGGCAATTAAAACCCAGTGATGTATAAAGCAGTGATTGATGTGTGTGGATGGTTTTGCTGGAATGAAACAGGAGCAGAAACGGTTTCATAGCGGTTAAACAAGAACAGTAGGTGAAAATAGCAGTGACACTGCTTTTCTAATCATTAGGAAAAAAAACCAAAAAAACAAACCTTGAAATGTAATGACAAAGGGCTCCCTAACAGTGAGTTTTTGACAGTGTGTCACTCAAGGCACTGCACACAGAGCTGCCTCCTCCACGATGCAGTCACAGAAATTGGCTTTCTAAAGGACATGCAGACACCTGCCACCACCAATTTGCATCAGTTACTCCTCAGCTAATTTTCTGTAATATTTTTGGGTGGTTTTTAATAGCTCTCACACAGAGGGGTCTCTCCTAATTGCAGGCCCAGCGTAATTACGGAGCATTTTGTGTTCTAAAAATAGGCACGGGTGGAGAAAATAAAAGCAAACCATGGGAAGGCTCCTCGGGCAAATGGAGGCCAGCAAAACAGAGCTCAGCTTTCACAAAAAATAGGGATCTCTGTCATGTCCCCAGTGCCCTGAGACTGGCAGGATCCTGAGGGAAGCCTTGGAGCTCCAGTGGGGCTCCCAGGGCATACTGAGTTCAGGAATTCTGTGATTTCTGTGTTGCAGAATAATGGGATTTATTTTAATGGGAACCAAGGGGGGGTTTGTGGCTGCTCTGCTGGGGTGGAAATGCCACCCCTGGGACAGTCAGTGGAGCTGTGAAATGGTAAAGGGATGTAAATACAGAAATTTGAGATCTCACACTGGCCCCACCAGCAGGAGCTGATTTGTTTGCCCATCCTTCGATGCCATCTGTGAAATGTTTCCTTAAAACTTTGATTTCCGTGCTGGCCTCAGAGTCACTTGGGAAAAGAATCAACAAATTTCATAAAGCACAAACCCAAGCAGGTCCTGAGAAAGGATTAAAGGCTGCAGCTCTTTTGTTTTGCTTATAATTGAACATTCYTTGCTGTAAAGACTGATTTTTGTCGGCCAAAATTTGGGGAAATTTTTCATTACTCTGGACAACTCGGGTAATTGTTACTGTGCAAAGCCATATGRCTTTGATTAAAGTTTCCAAATGCCATTTACTGAGACAAACTAYCCCGTCTTGAGGGGCTTTGCATCATTTCAGACTGCTGAAGCTTTTCTTGAACCCCACCTGAGGTTTGGGAAGGAGGTGTTTCCATGCCATGGAGTGCCCAGAAGCTGCTGGGCTGACAGTCTGCTGGAATTTTGGGGGGCATCTGGCTCTGTGTCAGGCTGGCATCGCTGCCCAGTGCCTGCCTCAGCTTAGGGCAGAGTTTTAATGGAGAATTTGTAGGGAAAAAGTGATTTAATTGTGGCAGCAGAGCCCGTGCAGCCCCCAGGCAGGGCTGGGTGTCCCTGCACTCTGGGGCCTTTCAGGAGAGATGGCAAAACTCTGTGCAAATATTGGCTCATGAAACACCTTCTGAGAGGCACAGTGAAGCATTTGTCCTCAGAGATGTGCAAACTTTGTCACCAGAGTGAAGTGACTTTCCCAAAGTCGTGCAGCTGCTTTTAAACACACCCAACTGAAATTAAATAATGCACACATTGCTGCTGCTGTGGGGCTGTTCAGTTTGGGGTGGAATTGGTGCTGTCCAGGAGGRGTTTGAAGGCATCCTCAGGTGTTACAATAACCTGTGTGCATTCCTGATACACTCCTCTGTTGTATTCTCCTCTTGAAATTGTTATTAATTACTAATTATTAATCCTTCTCTAATGCTGGGGTTATTGGAGCTTATACAAGACTTTCCTGGGTTCGTTGGGGTCTTTGGATTGTTGTTGTGAGCTCCCAAGAATTGTTGTCAGCTCACTGACCTCCAGAATTGCACGTGTTAATATTTTCTGCCTCTTCATCTGTTTTTTCTTTCAGTAGTTTTAATAGTTTTTCCTTTTAATTTAATTTGTGGGTTTGTTTGTTGAGTTTAGGGGTTTTTAATTGGCAGATAAAACCGAAAATCCTCCTCTGCTGCCCGTGCTGTTTGGGTTTGAGGACAAAGTGAGGTGGAACTTTGTGGGGTTCCATGATTTTCAATTTCAGGGCAGCACCCAGAGCTCACCCACCCCTGTGCAGGTCAGAGCTGGCAAGGACACTCCTCACTGATAAACCCTCATGATATCATTGTTCACTCCAATTTAGGAGCTGCAGAAATAAATCCAAGGGCTTTGAAAACAGGGGCAGCATCAGCCTGATGGCTTGGATGAGGCTTTAGCCTTCCTGACARTTATTTAATCTGGTTATTTACTCAGAGCCAGACTGGGAGAGAGTTTCAGAGCTGCCAAAGCCCGACGCTCCGCAGGACAAGCAGCAGTGATGAATTCTCTGCTTTATCCTCWGCCCCCAGTTGATTTTGAGAGCTCTTCCAGCATTTCCTGGATGTTCACCCAAGCAGAGTCTGCTTTTCCTGGTAGCAATCCTTCTCTCGTCAGTGTTGATGTAGAAAACAGCGTGTTTGTTCCTGCAGGCATTATTTTGGCTTTGGGCTATGGCTCCTCCTGCAGCTGTCCTCAGAGAGGATGGGATCCAGTCTTGTGTGCAGTCAGAATATATCAAAATCTGTGTGCTGGCAGGTGGCCAGAGGAATGTTAGAGTGGTTAATAATAAATACAAAACACAATAATGAAAACAAAAATTTGTTTATTAATAAATAATAAATTTATTTCATTGTTTTAACTTAATAGAAAAAATAAATTAATAATCAATTAAAAAAAAAAACTTGTACATTTAGGAATGAAAAATGATATCTCTCTAATTGGTGATTCTTTTTTCTCTGTTTTCATTTTGTCCTAAGCCAGAAAAAAAAAAAAAGAAAGGCCCATAAAGGTTTCTTTCCTAAAAAGGGAAATGAAGCAGTGAAGAGAAAATCCAGTGAAGCAATTTGGGATTTTCTTTATTTAGTTATTTTTAAGTATCTGTGCAGAAAGCGTTTTTAAGACAAGATAAAAATCAAGGCTCAGTTTTCCATCCTTGTAACCTTATAATGATGTTCCTACCAGTTCCTGCTGATAAATATTTATCACCTCTGTGTTTTCTCTGCTTCCCAACTGCACTGACAACAGGTTTGTAATTGCCAAACCAAGGCTCAGCTACGCTGGAAACAAGAGGGGGAAAAAAAAAAAGAAAATTGAAATGCAGGAGACTGTTAAAGATCAGAGGCTGCCAAAGTGATTCCGTGTCTTGGTGCTCCCACAAAGCAGTGCTGGTGACAATCCTGGTGCCACTGCTCAGCTCAGAGTCACCTCCTCACTGCATTGCAAGATTCTGGAGTTGTATTTTTGCAGTGCATGGGCCCTGAGGAGAGGAAAAAGCGAAGTGGAAGGAGGAATTTATTTTAATTAAAGCGTTCTGTGGCTCAGCAATCAGCTGGTGTTACAAACTGCCTTGTGGGGCAGGAAGGGTCACCACTCCTGGGCTGGGGGTACCAGCACTGAGGCTCCTGCAGGGAACAGGCTGGGTTGGGTTATTTGGTTATTTGTGTCCATAATTTCTCCTAAATCCACACAGCAAAGCTCCCCCAGCGTTACAGGTGCTGGGTTCACTAAAGCTGGGGGTCAATCCCTTCTCCCATTCCTCCCAAGGGAGGCATTCCCACCCTTCTGCCCGTGCTCCTCATCCTCCTGCTGCCCCAGGTGCCCCATCCTCCTGCTGTCCACCCTCAAGCTGATGTTTGCTTTTTGTCTCCATCAGGCACCAAATCCTGAGGAGCTTCTGTGCTTTCATCACCTTTAACTGAGCTCTTCCTCTCTTGGCAGACCTGGAGAACTTCAAGACCAGGACGAGGAGCACGGTGTTTGTGCGGCAGGGCCAGGGCATGGTGCTGCTCTGCGGGCCCCCGCCTCATTCCGGAGGTAAAGAGCTTTTCTTCTCTTCATTTCACCCTCTGGCAGTGATTTGTGAGCATTTCCCTCTCGGGGAGGAGAGTTCCCAGGGTTTTCAGGCAGTGGGAAGTGCTCACCTATGGCAGTGCCAGCCTGGCTGAGGGGTTCGTGCTGTGGGGTCCTGGTCACTGGGGGAGCTCCATTTGGGGGTAAATTCAGAGAAAGAGCATTTTATTACATCTGAGTGTRAACTTCAGAGATGAACTGATGGAAACCAACGTGTTCACACACAGGAGATGTGACCAACCTTTCTGTTTTGTGCTTTTCTGTGCAACCTTTCTGTTTAGTGGCCTGGGTGTGTCTTCTGTTAAAAGTGCTTGATGGCATCAATGACCAGTRCTGAAATATAGGGCTAACTGTTGGAAAAGATGACACTTTTAGATATATATATATATTTTATTTTTTTTTTACTTTAGCTTCACATGTGCATTGAAAACAAAATCAGAAAAAAATAATTCGAAAAAGCAGAACTATTCAATCTGAGATTTCCTTTTGCTTGGCTGATGAGGGTATTCACTGGAACAGCAGAAGCCTGAAAAAAAACCTCCCTGGCTAGGTGCTGAGATTTGGGAAAAGAAAAATAGTAAATTAGAAGGGAATTATTTCCTGTCATCCATTGTGTCACTGGTTATCTTGGGCTTAAAAATTGTGACTTTAATAAAGAGCTGCTGGTCAGCATCCGGCCCGTTAACCTTTCAGCTGCAGTTCATTCTGACACTTCGCCACATGGAAATCTCCATTTTTGAGGAGCTGTCAGCTGAAAGCAAAGTTATGTTGCCCTACATCCATTAGTTATCGAGCCTTTCTTTTTCTTTTTTTCCCCTTAATGATGCCCAATAAAGAGTTTCCTACTGTTCAGACGTTACAGGAAATTCATCCTGAAAATGAGCGCGGATGATGAACATCCCGCATTTGCAGCACCAACCAAGGGGCTGGGTACAGCAAACTCTGAATAATTCGGGCAGGGCCGTGCCTTGGCCCAGTTTTGGGTTGGAAATGAGCTGGAAATTGAGCACATGGATGTGGATGGAAAGGGAATGTGTGCTTGGCATGGTGGGGAGCGCTGTTTGTCAGGTCACCGCCCCGTGCTGGTGCGTTTTGTTAAGCAGAGTAACGATGTGATGGCCTCCTCGGATGGAGCGYGTGCTGAGTGCTGGAATTTGGGAAAATAAATGTTCATCTGCAGCTCGGGAAGGGGCTGGGCTGGAGAGMGGAATAAATGCAAATCAAACATTTGCTTCTGCCGCGTTTTCCGCTCCTGCGGCAGCGGATTCCCAAAGCCCCGAGGCCGCTCCTGCCGTACTGATGACCCCTTTGTCTGTCAGAATTTCCAGTTCTTTTCTTTTCCTTTTTTTTTCTTGCTCCTGACAGCCTGGCTTGTTAGGATTTTCCTGAGATAATTACCCTGTGTGTGAAGGGTGTTCCCTCGTTATTTCTACAGCTTCTTTAATCAAAAACCTGAGGATGGTTTGTGTCCACCGTTCTGCCCTGAAATTCCACAAAAGAAATAATTTTAAGAGTGACCATTGGTCTGGGAACTTGGCATTGAGGCCTGTGAACAGCACAAGGAGCTGCTGTAGGTGATGAAGTGGATGAGAGACACAGTCAAAAATCCTAAAAGTTGGTTTGTTGCTCAAATTTGATTTTGAGGCCTTGTCACGGCCACAGCGTGGACTGGGCAGTCCCCAGTGATGGAGTCACAAAAATGAGTCACTAAAAAGAGTTTCCATGACTTTTTTGTTGAGATTTAATGAGGTACCTGAGCCTGTCTTGGTATGAGCTCTGGAATTTGGATACCAGGRAACAAAAGCTCTCCTGCTGTACATTTTCAAAGCCCTGTGAGAGCAACCATTGAGTCACAGGTTGATTTGGGTGGAAAGGGACCCCAAAGCCCACCCAGTGCCACCCCAGCCATGGCAGGGGCACCTCCCACTGTCCCAGGGTGCTCCCAGCCCCAATGTCCAGCCTGGCCTTGGGCATTGCCCTCTGGGAGTCCTCCAAATGGGATGTCACAAGAGGAGAGGGGAAAAATCCCAAAACTGGAAAATTGTAACCCAAAGAGGCTTTGTTTTTTCACGTGTCTTTCATTGTGTTGTATTTCTAAGCCATTTTGAAACCATAAAGCATTTCAAAGTGTACAATAGTGCTCAAATTAAGCTCTTGGTGGATGTGTTTTCCTTCTGAGGAGCTTTGCAGCAGGAAACAAGTTACCTTTCCTTGTTTGCTTTTTTCGGTGTTGTTAATCAAATTTGGCAAGATTCATTTCTTGCTGAGATAAACTTAATTGAAGCAAACAAACCAAAAGCTCCAAAATCCAAAGCAAACACTCATTGGTGTTTCTCAGGGCTCTGACTCTCAGTTGTGTTTTGAAGGGAATGTGCCTGGGAAGTATTTGGAGGTCACTGTCCTTTTAGCTTTAWCTCTGATATTTAAGATAAAATATTCTTTTGTGCCAAATAGTTCTTTTCATTTAAGTTTGTGGGAGCCAAGTAATTTAGCTGYCACTTTTATTGGATTTATTGGATAGTCAGGGCAGGGTTAGTTAATATTTTAACAACGCTGGTTTTCAAATTCCTCCTAACATCCCTGGCATTTCGTTGTGAGTCCAGAGCTGAGAAAAAAAATACAGTCCTGGGAAGTATTTTCTACTTGACAGGCTGGTAGCACACCCATTTTCATGCAGAACAAACAGGTCTGTAAATCCTTCCTCTCCCTTCCTTGGGAAGATAAATGAACTTGTCTTTAGGATTTCTCTCACCCCCGCTCCTGYGAGCTCCTCGTGGCTCATCCTCAGAAAGATCTATAACCACGTTCTCATGACATTTGCCTTCCAGCCCTCGTGGGAAAACCCTGTGGAGATGGAGCTTTGTGAGAAATGCCGGGTGTACACAGAGGGCYGGTGAAAATGATCTCTCAATTACTCGATTATTCAAATCCCGCGTTCTCATCGCGTTCCCCGGGGTGTGTCCTGCTCTGAGACCTCTCTGTCCTTTGCTCATTCTGCCCCTCTCCATGGCTGCAGCACATTTATTCTCATTCATGATCTATTTCGATAATCTGGGCAAGAAATAAATCAGCTGAGCGCTTTCTTTAGGTAACAGAGTGCCCGAGGGGCAGATGGGCACACACTGATGTTCCTGCAGGATGTGTCTTCTTCTGCTGTTTGCTGAGACCTCAGAGCTCCTCCTGACCCTAGAACTGAACCTCCCCACCATGATTTCCATCCCTGAACCCAGTCCCCCAAACCTCTCATCCCTCTGCTCTTTCTGACCTTCCCGGGTATCGGGGGGCTGTGTCTCCTTGAGTGAGCAAAGGCAGGATTTCAAGGAAAACAAGTTTTCCATCTTTGCAGTGCCCACGTTCTCAATGTGCTTGGAAAATTCCATCTTCCCCTGGAAGAGAGAGGAGGAGATCATTAAAGCTCAGCTGTTCCCATAATTCTCCCTTATCTGGTGCCATCAGTGCTGATGGAAGCTGAGCTGTGGATGGATCCCATCCGTGTCTGCGAGCTGAGATGTTGACAGAGAATTATTCCCACATCTTTTCACAGATTGGATGCATTCAGGTTTTCTCATTCTCTCCTGCCTTTTTTTTTTTTGCTTCTGCTATCCAGGAGATCTTTTAGTTCTGTTGCACAGCCTAATCAAGTAGAACTAACTAAATTTTAGCATTTGACGGAGGAGATGGTGATTCTGATTCCATCTCAATCCCGGCCTTTCACGCCAGTGGAGTGTGGACACCAGGCATGTTTGCAGAAAGCATTTTACTGATTGCAGCACTGCTCAAACCACTCCTGGGCTCAGAAATGATTAGTGTCTGCTCACTTGTCTGCTCACTTTTTCACTCCTTTTATTTATTTTTTTTAAGGGATTATGGACACTTCATGGGCCAGGATCAGTGAAGGTGTTTTGKCTTTCAGGGCAGTGGATGCTGTGAGGGTTTGTCTCATAAATAATCTGTCCCACAAATTGGGGGTTGTATTCCCTCATGTTGCAAGGAGGAAGGGGAGAAAACCTGGCAAAAGTCAGAGCAGTGCAGGAGGAAAAAGGAAATTGTCAGACATTTTTATGCCACGGAAGGAATGGGGCATAGCAGGAATCCTGGAGYATTTTATGTCCTCACTCCACCACTGCAACCTCAATATTCAGCCTTTATTTTCCTGTTTCTCTCAGTGGGGCTGAAAGCTCTTCTTTCCCAGAGCTTTTGAGAAATGTGGATTTTGCAGACCCTGAATTGCCAGGACGGGGCAGTTCCCCCTTTCCAGGCAGGTCAAAGGGCTGAGCCACCCCTGTTACTCCTTATTATGGGATTGATGATTTCTCCCCTTTCTCTCCTGCCTTAATGTCTCTGGAAGCCTTTGCTGCTTGGTCAGGTTTGGTTCCAATTAGTGAGAAGCTAATTTAGAGAGGAGCCTCGCACACATGGGTGGGCACCGTGGCTGTAAAAGTTCCATTTCTCCAGGAAACCGAGCAAAAAATCTGCTAAGCTGGGTGGAAATGGGTTCAACGTTTGTCACGAGGCTGCAGGGTCACTGAGCAGCCTGGCACGGATCACTCCATGGCTGGAGGGACAATGTGAGCAGGTGAACTCTGCCTTGGGGCTGGGAAAGGCAAAGGAAAAAGGAGCAGGGAAATAATTTTGTGTTAGGGAGAGGTCAGTGATGCGTTTGGCATCTGTGGCTGTGGTGCTGGGGTAGTGTTGGCACATTTGGAGCACCAGAAAGAGTTCAAACCCCCCTTGGGCTGTGGTGCTGGGGTGGTTTTGATATACCTGGAGCACCAGGAGCAGTTGAAACCCCCCTGAGCTGTGGTGTTGAGGTGGTGTTGGCACACCTGGAGCATCAGGAAGGGGTTCAAACCCCCTGGGCTGTGGTGTTGGAGCATTTGGAGCACCAGGAGGGGTTCAATCCTCCCTGGGCTGTGATGCTGGGGTGGTGTTGGCACATTTGGAGCACCAGAAAGAGTTCAAAC